TGTCTGATGATGAAATACTAAGATGGTGCCTCTATCAACTGAAATATAATAGGACAGCATGACCGTACTCAGGAGAGTGGTTAAGGAAATGGGAAGCAGGCTTCATCTCTAGGAAAGTCGGAGACAGTCAGCTTGTGGTTTAATGAAAAGGGTACAGCATCTACAGCCTCTGAAATAAACCATATATATACATACATGATTCACAGGCTTAGCTTGGAAAGTCGGTGTGTATTTTGAGAGAACTGGAAATCGCTGGTTTACAGGACAGAAGTTTACAGGACAAAAGTCTGGTTTATGTATTGTAGGAATTAACAGGTCAAATGTCTGGCCCATGCCTTGTAGGGATCAATATCTGTGATCTAAACCCTCTTCATGTCAAACAGACAATGTGGTTGCTTGTTTCTCTTCCATGTTATTGTTCTCTAGTACCCATTGATGTCAGTCTCAGTGTAATGTCTGTATACTGTACCACACTGTATCTGTTAGTCACCATCATAGAAGGCTATTAGACAACCATCAAACCATCAATCATTCAAAGGAACCCGAGCAGGAGAAATGACACATGTTCACGGCCCCAGAGCCATTTATCGGGCCATTTCACAGACAGAGGACACTCGACGCCCCCGGAATCACAAAGTTAACACAGGCACAGGGCCGCAGCTGCTTTAACCGTTACACGTCAATTTCTGGTTTCTGTCCGTGTTATGCGGCGCCTTCCTGTCTAAAAATGTTACTCCATAATTCATGGGCACAGAAAGCATATTGATGGTTTAGCCCAGGTGTCACCTTACATCAGATTTCTTCTAAAATAAAGCAGCCTGTGTCCTCTAGGATTTAAATAAATATCCTATTCGTGCACTACATTGGCAAATCAATAACGGAGCCGGGAAAAAAATGAGCCAGGAATGAAAATACCTCTCACTGGAAAAGCTATTGCAAAAAAGTAAAAAACAGTAACCAGTGTTCCTTATGCTAGGATTTAGTATTGACCAACAAATTCTGTCAGTGCAGGCAAATGTTAAAATGTTAAACAGTAAATCGCACTGCCGCCCTCCCCTGCCTACACGGATGCAGAGGTGAACTGTTTATTTGAATTTTTTTTACCCATTCATGGGATTACGACGTTTTGCAGACATGAGGTTCGGCCGCTAGGAAATTACTCTGTGGCTCCCTTCCCTTAAGAATTAGCCAGCTTTGGCTGATTGTTTCATTTCCAGTATGGCCAGGCCGCCAAGGACGGGACCCTGGTAGCTTCACTCCACTCATGCCTGATTAGATTTCACACAAAAGCATCTTTTTCTGGGGCAACATACATACATATGTACATACCTACATACATACATACATGTATCCATACATACCTGAATAAATTGCCAGAATATTTTCTTTATCGAATTTTTATTGCTATTATTATTATTGTCTATCATCATCATCATCATCATCATCATCCTTCTGTTTTTATATATACACTGTATGGACACATGACCATTAGACCTACCGGGGTGTTTATGACATCCCATTCTAAATCCATAGGTATCAATATGGAGTTGTCGAGGCAGTTATAATAGCTACTACTCTTCTGGGAAGGCTGTCCATAAGATTTTGGAGTGTATCTGTGGCATTTATGAGGTCAGGCACTGATGTTGGATGTGAAGGCCTGCCTCGCAATCTCCATTCTAGTTCATCCCAAAGGTGTTCGATGGGGTTGAGGTCAGGGCTCTGCGCAGGTCAGTCAAGTTCTTCCACACCAAACTCACCCAACCATGTCTTTATGGACCTTGCTTTGTGCACTGTTGTTTTTCAGGGGTTGCACTAGGGCCCCTTAGATCCAGTGAAGGGAATTCTTGTCACATTTTGGACAATTCTATGCTTCCAACTTTGTGGGAACAGCTTAGGGAAGGCCATTTTCTGTTCCAGCATGACACTTCTTGACTGAGTTCCTATTGTTCCTACAGTAAATGCTTCCGCTTTGCAATAATATCACTTACAATTGACCATGGGATATCTTTCACAAACTTTTTCACACAAGGGGGCTTATACTGACAGTACCACTCTTGAATTCACTGAACGACTCATTCTTTCACAATTCATTCTTTTGATTTTTTACATCTGTGGCAATGGGCCTGAATGAAACACCTGAATTTGATGATTAAGAGGTATGTCCCAATACTTTTGTTTATATAGAGTATATAATATATACAGTACAGCTATACATCATCTTCCATCCTTTTATCCTTGTTGGGTGTCGCAGGGACATCCGTTTTCTTGTTGTGACAATTGTTTCTAATGGAATCTGTCTCCATTGTGAGAGACATTTCCAACTCTAACTGACATCGAACTTGACACAGGCACATAGTAACGGGTTTGATGGTAAGCCAAGGGGATTTTCAAGGATACAGTTTATAAAACTGGAAGTCATTCACCACAACAGCAGGAATTATGTAACGTATGAGAAAACTCTTCAAAGCCACCATCTGTGATTGGAAACACCAGAGCTTCATTCAAGATTTTTACTTAAAAAGAACTGCATCTAAGACATGCTGATGAAATTGAATTTATTGCACAATTTCCATCCATCAACCCATTTTCTGTAACCGCTTGTCTTGTTCAGAGTTGAGGGGGGGTTGGAGGTTATGGGTGCAAGGCAGTGAACAACCCAGGACCGGACACCAAGCAATTACAGGACCGGGCACCAACCAATCACAGGACCCAAGCACCCAAAGAGGTCAAAGTTAAGAAAAGCTGTAATGTTTTAAAATTTAAAAATATTTAGTGAGATCTACTTCAGGTTTGTGTACTGAAGGCTTATTACCTGCTTTATTGAAGCAATTATTTGTCAGCTGGAGTTTCTCATGTTTACCATTCTGTTTGCCAACATGTCAGAATTTTTCAAACGCTTTATGAAGGCGTGAAGACATTGCTCCCTTATCCTGTTGTTTATCAGAGTAATTTTCTCTGATTTGCACCTGTTGGGAATTAACGATGGATTCTCTGTAACCTTGAATCAGTTTGCAAAGAACTGTGAACTTTTAGTTCTTTTTTTTTTTGTTTCATAACATTTAAAGATTTGCAGCTTCATCTTACATGTAGAATACAAAATGGTACAACAGAAAAGACAATGTTCTGTGTGCTCAACTGTAAGAAGATCTGTTTCAAATGGAAAACAGACTCACATCCCATGGGGACGTGCCAGTGAGCGGAAGGGATGCTGCTTTATCTGTTTGAGGCTGATCGCATTCGCCACACAGGACACACCCAGGATATCAGCACCTCCATCTGGCTAATTTTGCTTTTCACGAAGACAGTGGTGAGACCTGATTTCCTCGTCAGCTGAAATGCCACGGACACCATGGTCAGTGACTACATTTCTCTGCAATTTCATCTGAAATCTGATCCATTGGCCTGGCAACCCCATGCAAACCGAACAGAATGCATTCAAATCTATATAACCCGAATGACTAACCACCTTATTGAAGTGGGCACCCGGGAAATGTCTCTGGGTTAAATGTGGTGCGAATAAAATTAAAGTGTGTCCAAGCATTCCAGAAGCACACACATTTAGGGCATGGGATTCACAATGAATTTCAACACCATCAATTAGTCTACTAGAGTTACTATGCAGTGACCCTGGTTGCCGCAACAATGTCTAACATTCTTCCCAAAATACCTTATTCATTGGCTTCCTAAGCCCTGTGGCCTCAGGCTGTACCATAATTAAAATGGGGGGTATTCTGAGTGATGACTTGAGAACCCTCCAAACAATAGTGTTGATTAATTTGCCCCACATTTTTTTTTTTTAATACATCACGCAAATGAATAAAATCATGGACATCGGGTTTTCTCTATTGGCGGTAATTTAAAAGAGGTGCTTTCATCTCTGCGAAGCTTGCCAGGGACTTCATATACAAGATGAAGTGGTAAACAATATGACAGGTAAAATATTAGCTACAATTCACTGCACGTCAAAGAGGTTCGATGCAGCTTTCTGATTCGTCGACCGAAGAACAACAAAACTAATGGCACCTCTTGAAAGGCTGATATGACTCTGTCGATGGGTTAACGCTGCCACTTTGCATCAGTCTTGAGCAAATGTTACGGTACAGGGAAGTAAATGTATTCTGGCTATGTGGAACAGTGTAGCCGTGAAGTTAACGTCACCTATGGAGGCCATTTTTCCGGAGGTACTGATTCAAGAATAGAAAGCTACAAATGAAAACTCATTGGGGACCAGGATAGTTCAGAGAAAAGTCAAACATTTCTTTACACAAAGGGTAATGTGGGCGTAAAGTTTATAGCAGTAAAATTGAGTTCTGTTTGCTCAAGTCAGCAAAATATGGAAAGTCTAGCTAGCAAGAAGTCACTTACAATAGTGAAATACCATAAATGGATTCCTTTTTACGCATCTTATTGTGTACTTATGTGCAGTACTCAGGGGCTATAAAGATGTTTAGCAGCTGTTTTGTGGAAATGGTTGTGTATGAATAGGAAGTGATATTCAATATTTCAGCACAGAAAATGCATCAGGTCAGCAAGGAGGTAAGCCTGCAGCATGTCTTGATTTTCCTTCAAGACATTAATTGTTTAAATCCCAATTGATATTGACATACTAATTTATTTAATAGCCACATTACTAACACAGCCTCCTCTGGTTCATTGAGTAATAAATACTTTTCTTTTTTCAGGTCAGTTGCCTCGGTAAACTAGCATTTTACCTCTGACGTTAAACTCTCTAAGCAGATATTGGAAGCAAAGTATAGCCTAATTAAGAACAAGAACAACAAAATATGTTCAGATTTTTTTATTAAAAATAAATATAAAAATATAAATATAAAACAATATGACTAGGCATCCAAACAACATGAATTCAGTGTATGACAATTAGTCTATAACTTACACCTTATTACAATTTACATCTATGTGATGAAATGGACCAAGAGATTGACAATTAAAATTATCCACTGTCCACATGAACATCGCTTTATGAATAACGTATGTCTCCCATATTAAAACGTTTTATACATTTATCTATAGTAAGTCCAGTTTCTCAAAGTGTGGGTCTGTTTTTTTTTTTTTTCCTTTTTTAATCGTTTTCTCCATAAACAAACACTGATAGTGTACAAGACCACCTTTGCCCTTCTCGGTTACAAAACACATTTTCCACACCACAGACAACCCTAAAATCTGAAGGCAATTTTACTGCTTAAATAAAAGAAAAACACAAAAAATGCGATTATGTAAAAAACCCTCATGTGAAAAAACGTGATCCTGCCAGGATAGTACAAGTCTCAACGGTTTCTATTAAGTAAAAAGAGATGCCCCTACCATCTATCCATTTTATCCTTTTTTTTTTTGTAGGGATAGGTTGAACGGAACTTACTTAAATCTGCTTGTAGCTAAGTATCATTGTCACTGTCCTTTCCCATATACATGTCTGCTAGCTTTTTAAACTGTGGTCCCCAGCTGCTAAGATAATCATATTCCTGGTCGCCCTCCGTAGCGGCGGACTCCAGCGAGCTGAGCGATTCGGCGAGGGAGCCGTTGCCCTCGTAGGCGTACGTGGCCAGCGAGTCATAGGGCGGCGCCGTGGGGTCGGCGTCGTTGTCCTGCAGCCTTGCGCCGATGAAGTCACGCACATCCGCGTTGTCCTTGATGGGCGACGTCCGGCGGAAGGGGAACAGCATTTCAGGGATGATGTCCCTACGGTGCTTGTTAGCTTCCATCACCTCGGGGTTGCGCAGCGTGCCGATGTCGAAGGCCTGTGTGTCCTCCTCGCCGCCGCCCTCGTCGTTGTAGCTCACCACGTTGTCTCGCACGTCTTCCTTGGAGATGATCAGCGGCTCCTTCTTCTTCTGCCTCCTCAGGGCGGCGAACAGGACCACGATCACTGGGGGACACAGGGCAGTAGTTAGGGGGCCGTCCCACTTGCATTTTCCTAAAGCACCCACAGCGCCCCCTAGAGGCCTGGGGATGAAATTCATCAAGGCGCACAACAGCATCTTCATTGACACGTCGCGCTGGGGAAAAGATGCTGGAGTCCATATTTTAAAAACACACAGTACTGCATTTAGGAGCATTGCAAATTCATGGAGGAAAGACTAATCTGCTATTACTGATAAATTCATTTCCCAGCCAGCCAGCTCATGAATTTTAAAGTACAGTATAAGCCGAGAGGCTTGCTCCATATTTTTATCACAGCACGTCCGCACTGAAACAGCGTTTCAATTCAGACAGGCATTCAAGCCATTCAAACCTTGCACTTGTGATAAAACAGCTTTCTATTTACTTTCCATCTTTTATAACATTGTATTGTTTTGTGACAGACCACAGATGCTCCCCGCCCATATTTCTGAATGCTTGTTTTCCCCTGTCCACGGCTTCTAGAAGGATCCACGGCTATCCACTCAGGTGTTAATTACAAGGTCGAGCGAGCCGGGGAGCCTTCCTTAGAAATCAGTGTGTCTGCCTTTCTAACCGGAGGCAAGAGGGACGGGTGCCGTGGTTACGCCCCGGCTGCCTTTTGTCGCTGCTGGATACGGCGGAATTGGACGATTCTTCAGGGGTGCCTGGGGCAGGCAGGGCCGCCACAGACTGATGAGCAGCCCTGGCGATATTTTCACAGGAGCGGTGGACACTGTTAACCGCCGCATATGCCGACGCCCGCACACACCAGCGATAACACAGATCGGATCACTCGAGGAGAACGGCCCGTCGCTATGAATCTCCTGTTGATGGGGGGGGGGGGGGGATCTTTACAAGGGGCTGGAGGGGGGCTGTCAATAAGCTATCCACAGGCAGGGCAGCTGCAGTGGTGGGCTGAAGATGTCAGTATAGATATGGGTCGCAGGTATAGCCAGGCACCAGTGTGTGAAATGAAGAGGAGGAAGGGCTTGGCTCAGGCTTCTGTGTGCTCATGGTCCGTGAAATACCCTACACAAATGCCGCAGCCCACCACCAGGAGTCGACTACCACCGTGTGACAGATGGCCGTAATTCATGCAGTGAGGCCGACCTTATCATTAGCCAATGAAATGTTTTGAATCGGGGAGTGACGGGCAATGGGAAACTCTGGTGGCCAATCAGCTTTCCCGCTAGGGCCCCTGAGAACGGCAGATCCAACGATGTGCAAACAGGCTGTGAAATGTTAGGTCTGAGGAATCTGCCTGCTAGCGGGAGCACCTTGGTGGGGGGAGGGGTCATGGAGGCAATCCCCCCCCTCTGTCTTCAGACCACCTGCCACAAAAAGCCCGCTCCTGTAATCAGTCATTGCTGAGCTTGGATTCCCCTTAAGAGCCTTTAAGAGACGGCACTCTGGTGAGCTGGTATGGTGTGGTGTCTGCCCCAGTAGCCAGCCACCATGCAGCGTTGCTGCAAAGGCTACACTGAGTCATCATAACCTGAATTGTTCCTAAACAGAAAATGAGTCACAACTGCTTTTACTTTTTAGCAAATTCATTACTTGAGATGATCCTAAATGGGGATTGAGTCATAATTGCCTTTTAGGAAATGTTTCATTTGAGATATTCCTCTATGGAGAATTACTGCCAGGCAGGATTCCATTTTGCATCATTCAGAACTCTGGAGTGGAACGTGGGAAGCTTCGAAGTGGAAGTCCTCCAAACCTGAGCCTGGGGTTCGAGAAGGTAGGAGATCTATACGCCTGGTGTCAACATGGATTCAGAGCACAGTTCCGGTCTCGCAACGCACCCACACATGTTTTAGCCGCTTGTGGAGGAGAGCGAGTGAAACTCAGCAGGAGTGGAGGGCAAGATGAGACTGACAAGGGAGACTCACTGAGGAGGATGATGACACAGAGCAAGATGGCCACCAGGGCGCCCGTGCTGAGCCCGGCTGAGCGCAGCAGCGCCTCCGTGCTGCATGACTGCATGTTTCCCCGGCTGTCACATGCACACACGCCAATGGTCAGAGTGCTCGTGCTGCTCTGGATTGGGTAATCGTTGTCCGAGATGACGACTGGCAGCAGGTAGACACTGGTCTCTCTCCGACTGAATCCACCCCGTCTGGTCAGGATCCGGGCTGTGTTATCTGGGGGAAGAATATATGCATCAGGGACCCCTGCTGGTACGTAACAGGCGCATTACGATTCTTGTCATTAACTGGGAAAAACATAAATACTAGTTAAATATATGACTTTATAAAACAACTCATTGGCCAATTACATGTCAAACACTATCAGTAGGCAGGAGTGAAGGTGGAGTATTCCGTTCACTGGAAAGTCGCAATAGTCAGAAAGAGGTCATCCGCATTTTTCATTGAACAGTAACAAAATAAATAATAATGAGACTATGATCATATATATATATATATATATATATAGAATACGTACAATGTTAATATATTTCACCTGTCCTGTTTACTGTCAGTACTCCCAGACTATACTACTTTAGTTTTGCATTATATCTGACCTAGACAATGCATCTACGCTTCTCATGACTTGAGCCAGCTGTGCGGTCCTGTCATTCTACATTCATCATCCTCCGAGATTCTTGAAAAAGAACAAACAAATAGCAAACGTATACAGGTGTGCTCACCTTCGTTGTCAAAAATCGTGAAGTTGGGATTGGTGGAACTCAGGCTGAAGGCGAACTTGTGCCCAATGAGAGGTTCATCGGTGTCCACGGCGCTTATTGTCTGTATCAGCTGCTCGGGGAGGAATTACACAGCTCTCAAATCTGCGTGGCGGTTCCTATGCTAATTGTACAAATCAAAATCTGATCTGAAAACAAGAGCGAAGAACGGCTCGGCCAAATCGACATGCTTCATCGCTCTGACGATGATAGTCTCATCACGTCACCAGAGGACTGAATGAATCGCAGCTCCATAATTAGTGCAGCGGGCGCTGATGGAGGGAATGCACGATGTAGTGTATATTTATGAGCACAGGGAGTGGGATGTTTGGGGAAAAAAACACAAGAGTCCTTAGTGGATTCCTTACCTGACCTGCTTTGACGTTTTCACACACAAAGGTTTCATAAAACATGGCGAACTCCGGAGCATTGTCATTGACGTCCAGGACCTTAATGAAGACGGGAACTCGAGTGGTCTGACGGGGATTATCTGGAGGAGGATGGGACGCCATTACTGATTGAAACAGAATCGCATTCAGGCATTCAAGGCATATCTCAAGGATAATGCCTCAATCGACAGCTCGGTTACCAGGGCGGCATTCGACCTTCAGGCGACTTGGATACGGAGGCTTGATGGATTAATGAAGAGCGGGATGAATATGTTTGCTTTTTTACAGGGTGTATCACGATACAGAACTGTTTAATCACACCATGATGGTCATCTGTTAACAGGAAGGAAAAAAAAGAGGACACTCACTTATTTCCGTGGCCACGACTGAAATGTTGTGCCACTTTGACATTTCTCTGTCCAGGGCCAGTAACGTTGTGATAGTCCCATTGCTAGATTCGATATTAAAGAGCCGGTCCAGATCAGTGTGCCGGTCGATGGAGTACCTGCCAACGACAATTGACTTCCTGAAAATCTGACAATGCTCATGCAGTGGTATCGGTAATATAACTGAGGTCCCTGTACATAAATGGTCATGACTATTGAAATGACAGGCTGTTTGGTTGGCTGTCCAGGAGAATGATTACATACTTCTACACCTGCTGCATTATTTATTACAATAATTCTACAAATGATCTGGCTTCTACTGGTTCCAAATGAGAAAAGCTTGGTATTAGAACTTACAGTACATTACTTATGGAAAATCCACATAGCATATACGGAAATAATCATACAAATATAAACCACTGAGTGATTTATGAAATGACATTTTCCACAGGAGCCCTGAAGTACCATTCGGTATTGTCAAGACACACGTGGATGTGACAATTGATCATATTTGCTGGCAACAGATTTAGAAACCAGTGACAAGAGAAAGAAATCTCTAGAAGCCGTAGTGGCAGTGATTGATTGCTTTGAATTACTAGTGGGTTTGAATCAACCTCCTACCGATTTCCTTATTGGTTTGCATCGGGTGATTGGCAGAACGTGGCGATCCCGCCCCCTGCAGGTTTCAATCACCATTCCTCTCATGAATAATAAACCACACAGAACAGGATCTGATATCTGGCAGTATGCTAATTATTTTCCCCAGCAGTTACTTCTGACGGTGTACCGCGGACATTGTTTAATGTCGTTTACCGTCGCACTGTCTCAGTGTGATATATAAGCAGACACATGACTTTATTCACACTGATGGTGCTGTTTACCGTCTGGTCAGAGATTAATGAATGCATCATATTTCTCTGAGCCATTTATCAATGTCAGCTTACGCATTCCTCTGACATTTAAAACAATCGCCGGGCATGCTCTGCTGGATACAATTTGCAAAGCAACGCACGCGCGATCGTTAAATCGCCAGATGAGAAGTGTCAGGCCGGCGAAACGGAGGCTCATCGGCGTCGACGGCTGGGTGGGTTGGGTCAAGCTGGAGCAGAGCTCATCGTGTTGAGGTCCCAGAGGATGTAACGAGCCCCCTCAGGCTGCTGTGACCTACACTGATGTACGAATCCTCTCATTTATCTCAGGACCACCTTCATCAAAGTCCGCCTCTGGAAAAATCTCATGCGATAACATCACCACGTCCTTTTGGGCTTTTTCTTTATGTCTCCATATCTTTCTGTTAAAAAACAGGTGTCTACACGACAGACACACACCATGTGGTCTTAGTCTGGGGAATCCACCTTAATCCCGGAGCGGAGATCGACATCGGGCGCCCTGGTGCATCCGAGTCATCCAGATTCACCGGGGCCATGCTAGAGAGATTGGTCGGGTCGATCTCACAATTCCCAGGCTCAGAGCTTCGTAATAGCGTCGATGGAACTGCTCCAAGTAAAAGCTGACATGAAAAAGCCCCAGGAAACAGACATACTCCTCAGAGTCGCTCTTCCTTTGACTTTCATAAATGATATTTTCCATTCTTCTTTAAGATCCCGTCGGAATAGACTTGCGAATTCGAAGAAACGCACCACTATATCATAGCAAATGACTTTCTGAGTTTAATCTGTGATGAACTGGCTTCATAAATACTAAGACAAAAGCCATTACCGCGCCTGTCCAAGCTAGGAGCTTACCTTCAAAATAAAGAACCACTCTTATCATTGTTTGCCGGTGTGGTATTTTTGGTACCGCAGAAATGGGATGTTATATGACCTATGAATGTATAACTCCCTGGCTTTCTGCAACAAACTGAGATAAATCCACTAGCAATGGGGGACATTCACAGTAACCTCAGTGGTTATTATGCACTTTTAGTCTGTATAAGTACCTCCATCGTGATGCGTTTAATTTCCACAGCAGGGATTCTGTGTCCAAAGCAATTCAAACTTACAATAATACACATTGAGCATGGGGAGACCAGTTTTTGTTACATCCATCGTTAATTTAGCATCCAAAGCAGGGGCAGGTTTGTTGTTCCCAGGGCCTCACTCAGAAAGTCACTTCCAGTTCCCCTACCTCCCCTTGTCCCTACATGTTTCAAACACTAAATAAATAACTAGCAAGTTACAAGATTGCAGCTAGCCAGCTGCTCGGCAGAACAGGCTGTTCCAGCATCTCTTAAATAAGGAACTTATTTATTTAATATTTATTGTGGTGACTGTTTGTGGCCAACAGGGGGCCCCACGTAGGGGGGCCTCACGTGGTTTGAACAGCAGTAAACACCACTGCTGAACCCAGAGGTATGAGAACCAGCTACCTAAGATCCTTTATCCTGGAGCAATTCAAACCAAACATAGGTGCTGACGTGGGACTTAACGACTAATGCCAGGCTAGATACTACATCAGGGATGGCCAATCTTACCCGCAAAGGGCCGCTGTGTATGCAGGTTTTTGGGATAACCTGTAGGTCAGCTGTTCAAACCCAGGTGTGAGGACTCTTTCAGCCAATCAGTCCTCTAATTAGTGATCTAATTAGGGAGTTGCAGCGAAAACCCGCATACACACCGGCCCTTTGCGGATAAGATTGGCTACCCCTGTACTACATGAATCTTAATGAAGGACCAGGAGGCAGGGCTTTTAAATTACACAACTCACTTGACTGGGTGATTGGCCGAGTCTGGGTCCCAGGCTGTCACACCCCCAATGAGGCTCCCTGCCGCTGTATCCTCATGCACCTCGATGATGTAGGGGTTCCTGCTGAACACCGGCGGCTCGTCCACGTCCTGTGTCATCACCTTCACCGTCGCCGTGTCCTTGAATGGACCCAGGTGCAGGAACCGGTGGTCCAGATGGGTGTTGGTGGCCTCCACTTTCAAGGTGTATATCCTCTTGCTTTCATAGTCCAGTGGCTGGCCACGAGAAGCACAAAATAAAACCAACATGATGGATCAATGTTGATTGATGGCCACATATTCTACTTGCTATGTATTATTATTGTCATTATTATTATTTCCTTGCTTAGCTAAAACCCATTTCTCCTAAGCAGCTTGAATTTATCTATAGGGGGTGGACATTCAGGCTGGCTGTCTCACTCAAGAGTAACTAGGGCTCTTTACAGTCGTACCGGCAAACATCCGCACTACCTTCTACAACAGCAGCTGACGCTGTCCCTCTTCACCGTCATCATCGATCTCCCTGACACCTATTTAGGGGCACTAACCGTGGCTGACATTAATGTTTCACTGCGACAGTGAATAAACGAAGCACCGCTTCGATTTCCTACTCATGTAATCGCTATGAGTCTGTCCATGGTGACGCTACACATGTACAGTCATCAGATCACTTAGATAATGATAGTAATCTGTCATTTTTAACTTTTTGAACAATACTGGAGACTTTGCATAACTGATCTCCTTCTACTTGATGAATTCATTTTTTTTACATTTGTATCATATTGATATATTTTCAGAGGTGGTGATTTCAGGTCCAGAGAGTACAAATCCAGACCAAGATTTTGTTCCAACCAACCAGTTGAGTATAAAAACTCACAGAGTACTCAATAGTCAAACAAAATCTGACATCTCTACCTCTGTATATTTTATGCATATTTGTCTACGCACTATATGTTTATACGTTTACATTGCACTCGGTGTTTGATATTGTGTCTTATGTTTGATCTGTGTCAACTGTGCTCAGTCGGAGCATGCAGAGTAAGAATTTCATTGTATAGTGTGACTGACTGTTTTACCGTACATATGATAATAAACTTTTTAATCGTAATCTTAATGTATCTATCACTTAATCTTAACGTAACTGACGTCAAGCAAGCTGATAAATTGTCAGTTTTTACATAAACGACTATGCGTTGATCCTGTTTAAACATTTTGTCATACTTCAGAGGGAACCAGGAAAAGGACACAGCTTGATTTCAAAACCACATGAAAGCAAGCAAGATATAAGAAGCCCCTACTGAGTACTGAATTAAGGGCCTTTATGAAACGATAAGGGCATGATGGGTGAGATTTATAGGATTCTGCAAGACCCACTTACAAAAACACCCTGCAGAGATTTGCAGAAGAATTATTATGTAAAAAGAAATAAAAAAGTTGCGTGTTTGAGCCGCATGAATGACAATGGGACTCTACCTTCTTAACGGTGATGATGCCTTCCTGAGTTACTCGGTCAGTGACGATGGTGAACATGTCCTGCCCATCACCATCCATGATGCTGTAGTGAATTTCCGCGTTCTCCCCAATGTCCGCATCGTTAGCTTTTATCCGTCCAACCGTTGACCCGATCTCCACCGATTCCAAAACGGACAGATGGTAAGAACCTTAAGAAATGAGCGAGCAGCGGGATTATTTTCCAAACCTTTGGGAAAACTTGACGGTTACTTTGTTTATTGTTTAAAATAATTTCATGCTTCATTGAGCTATTGCACGTGCTCTCGAATATACACCACTGCCGCTTTCGTTTTCCTTTGGAAAAACGAACACAGCAATCATCTGTGACGTTTCCCAGGCATCATAAGGGCAGGCTATGAAATGATGACATGCTAATGTGTGACGTGCTAATGTGTCATGTATGTCCGTGTTCTTATCCAGTTCTTTTATGTAGTGAACAAGAGAAGCATGAGAGGAAAAACCTGCTGGGGATTTTAAAATCAGACAGCACCGTTAGTACTTTAAACCCAGTGGGAGGTTTCCATAAAAAAGCAGGACACCTTATAAGAGACACTATTCACATGTTTTGGTTCGGAGATTAATTGTCTGATTCTGCCTCAAAGGAAGCCTGTCATTTCTCCAAGAGCCAGGCTCTGCCTTCTCCCACTCTGAGCGGAAATAATGACAGTTTATCATCCCCGGCACCTTCAGAAACCGTAACTCAGCTTTCACGGCGACCCCCGTCTTCTCTAAGGACTGATTTCATTCATTTTATAGATACACATGGAGGATTTGCTCCAGGGTCTAAATTATACTGTCATTCCACACGAATATAAGTGTTTATGCTCTGTATTGCATCGCCTGCTTGCAAACGTGGCGTACCTGTGAGGTAAATGTCAAGCTTATTAAGTTTCCCTTTTTTTCCGGGTGTCTTTTGAGAAAATGAGGGATTGCGGTACTCGCATTTCGGCCTAAGAGCGATCACTGCTGGCGGCCATGTGTGAAACTGTCCGGCAACTCTCTCCTGTTATCAATCAGACATGCCGTGCAATACTGGGGGCATGGGGGGTGCAAAAATATGGGGACGAATCACTTAATGGACTCAAGAGATATTTACTACATTTTTTTCTCTCATTCTTCATTCTGTAATTAAAAGTGTTTTTATTTTCACTACCTGTCAACATCAGTTATTTTATTTTATCTCGCACCTTCTCTGAGATAATTGCACGGAACAAATGCATCAGTTCTTTTGAAATCTTGCACCATTTTGTATAGATGGTGTTGTAATGGATTGTAACACCCTCTTGACAAGTGGACTGGGATGACTCTGTCGTGAACAGTGCTATAATAGATTGGAAATCTATGTTTTTCCTTTGTTCCAGGTATCAACAGTACAACAAACAGCAACAAACGCTACTGCAAACCACTTTAAAACATTTAGATAAAACTAGCATTAGAAATTAATTACTGATGTGCAGGGGTCACTGGCCCCAGCCGAAAGCTGATTGGCCCCCGGAGTGACTTGTGATAAGGTTGGTTCTTCTGTATGAATTATGGCCCCTCTTATGCCCCCCCCACCCTAGGAAATCCTATAACTGCCCATCCTGATGGGGTTAACGCTACAGGCCCCCTGGCCATGACTCACTATGTGCGAATCGCGGCGGGCTGTCGTTGACGTCCGTGAGGGTGATGTTGATGGTGGTGGTCCCAGAGAGCCCCCCCATCTGGCCCGCCATGTCCTTGGCTTGGATCACCACCTGGTACTTCTCCCTGTTCTCCCGGTTCATGTTGGATAGAGCCGTCCGGATGATGCCTGGCCGAGGAATGGACACAGAAGGGTCACCTGTCTGAATCAGTGCTGGCTAAGTGCCCCAGAGTTTCTCTAGGGATCTTTGAGTGTAGAGACTAGCATGGTAGACAGAGAAAGGTCACATGACAGCTGTCTGAATCAGTGTCGACTAGGCCTCCCTGAGGGATCTATGAGCGTTAGCATTAGCATTAACATGTATATTAGCATTATCATTGAAATGTGTGTTAGCATTAACATGATTATTCAGGGTCCCAGCTTCATGCGAATGTAACTAGTCTCTTAGCCATAACTGTGAGCTACATTAATGACACGTTTTCATAGCAGAAGGTTGCCAGTTCAAAACGCAGGCTTGGCAGAGTGATGCCACCATTGGGTTCCTGAGCAAAGCCCTTAACTGCCATTTCCTCTAGGGACTGTCTGACGCTGCTTTCTCAAAAATATGTGTTGCTATGGATAAAAGCATTTGCAAAATAAATAAAATGTAAATGTATTAAAATCCAAAGCAGTACTCAGATTGTTGTATTTATAAAATACTTTCTCATGCTATTCTCCATGTAGTATTTTGAGAGAACATATCTGGAGTATTTCTTCTGAAACAACAAAAACAGGAAGAAAATGAGGGGAGGCAAAGCCTTGTTACATGTCCGTATCCGTACCCGGCTCTGTACAACCTGTTGGGATATGGAGTTTGTGAAATGAAATTGCTCCCCTCCTCTTAGTGTGAAATTACATTCTGGGAGTCTCTATCAGGTTTTATATTGTATGTGATTTTCAGAATCAATAAACTTGAAAGTATTGACTTCATTATATTCATATACACACATACATTTTATATATATATATTTATGTGTGTGTGTGTGTGTGCTTTATATTATACTGTGGGGACCAAATGACCCCCACAATGTCATAATTTGATGACGTGGGGACCATTTTTCAGGTCCCCAGAAAGATCTGTTACTGCAATCCAAAAATGAAAAATGCCAGAAATCTTGTATTTAGTTTGGTTACATATGGTTAAGGTTAGGGCTGGGTAGGGGTTAAGCTCTTCATGTTGTGATAAGAGTTTCCCCCACAAAAATATAATTACAAACCTCTCTGTGAGTGTGTGTGTGTGTTTGCATAGATCACATTTAAGGACCAAATTGTCCCCAAAGTGTGGTAAAGCCTGAAATTTCCCTACTTTTGGGGACATACAGTATTTTGAGGTCCCCATTTGGATAACCTCAGTTTTATAAAAATCTGTGAATGCAATCAAAAAAGTAAAAATGCCAAAAGTCTTGTATTTGGGTTGGTTACTTATGGTTAAGGTTAGGGATGGGTAGAGGTTAAGGGTGTTGTGATTGGGATTAGGGTTTATCCCATAGAAATGAATGGATGGTCCGCATTTAGATAGGAAGACCAACTTGCGTGTGTGTGTGTGTGTGTTTGTATCCATCCTTTTCCAGTGCCTTGGGAGCTACTGTACAGCTTTGCTTTTTTGTCATTTTTATGCTTGGCAAGCTAACATGTATTCTGCATTATTCATTTCCTTAACAGCACTCTTTATATGGCATACTTCCGTGTCTGACATTTTCAGACTTCACCACAACTCATCTCCCCTCATGCCTGAGAAACTTATCTCAGGAAAACACCCAATACCGTAAGTGGGGACCCCATACATATGGGTTTATATACCTCCAATACCTCAACCTTTATCAAAGTTAAAAATACAGATTGACACACGCTGCTCAAGTATATCGGAAGTTAGAACGTTCCGGATTATTTGTGGCGTGATGTGTGTTTTACGGAAGTACCTGTTTCTGACTCAATGGAGAAGTACGGCTGTCCCTGGAGGATGCTGTAAACAAGCTTTGCGCTGTTCCCGTATTGCTCATCGTCAGCATCCATGGCGGTAACCTGCACCACGAATGTACCTGCAACAGAGGAGAAGGCTGATAACAGGAGGATTATCTAGGGGCAAACTGGCGCTGCTCAGATGCACATTATGCAGCCGCTGGAGTCAGCGATATGCACGTGTGGAAAGATTACAGATTACAGGATTGTCTGTGAGCTGCTTTTACCGGTGCATCATGATGTCTGTGAAATCAGCACCTCCAGAATCCGCACACAGTACTCACAGTTATGACCACGATTTATCAAAAATGCCACTTTTTACTTCCAAATGTTACTGAAATAAATGAACAATGGTCAGTTATTATATAAAGATCACTATGTATGTACAAATTTGATATTAAATATTGTCCTATTTGTAGTTTTTGCTATTACCTTTTGACGTAAAACATTGGGGACTCATGCGGTCTGAAAGGCATTTAGACAAAGTCAAAGTACAGTAGCTGAGATACTTTTCTGCCTTTATCCTCCCCAAACCTCTGGATATCCAATGCTTTCATTGTGAAAAGAAGGGACAGGCCACACTAAGACACTAAACAAACTTCAATGTGCTGACATTGACCTTGGGCTGAGTTCTTCAATAAGTCCGTTGTTAGCTATAAAAGTTTTACAGAATTTGTTATGAGGGAGTATCAAGGTTTTAAAAATCCTGCTCAGCGCTATGGGAAAATAAAATCACTGGCTCCCTGCAAAAAAACTGCTGATCGTGAAATGTCTGTAAAGTCACGGCTGTCACATGGAAATAGATTTTGAAAATAATAATAAATATGAATTATTTCCATTATAACAAAATGGATTATTAGACAGCTGAAATGTTGCAAATATTCTTCTTCTAATATGTACCTGTAGTCAATAAAATAGAAGGAGACCCTAAGACCCCTCAAACAGGTATAAAGAAACACCGTCTCGGAGAATCAGGGTTAAATGTGCTACCGGTTTTCTGTTTCCCCTTATCGAGTCTGGCCACCTGCCTGTCATCCTCTCTACACCAGTGGACAGCATGTTCTGAGAAGAAGACCACCCATCTGAATTATCGCATTGCATTATTTTATAGCCTCCCTACTAAATATATAAATAGACTGCAGTTTGTTCAGAACTCTGCTGCTCGTTTACTTACGTACACACGCTAAAAAATCTGCTCGCGTCACTCCCGTCCGCTATGATCTACTGCCAGTTTCTACAAGAATCATATATAAATCACTCATCACCTTTAAAGCCCTGCATGCTGTAGCCCCTCATTATCTGTGTCAGCTTCTGCCTCCTCACTCTCCAGCACACGTCCTAAGGCCATCGCACGCTTTCTTACTCACTGTACCTAAACACGGCTTATCAACTATGGGTGACAGAGCTTTTAGTGTAATAGCAGCTAAAATTTGGAAGGCTCTTCCTCTTAGTCTTCGTGAGGAAAAATCTATTATCCATTTCAGGCTCCTGTCACTCATCTCTTCTCATCTTCTTGTATGTAACTTGTATTGTCTTGTTATATGTTCTTTTTGTTGAATTGTAAAGTGTCCTTGAGTGTATGAAAGGTGATATATAAATAAAGCTTGTTATTATTATTATTATTGTTATTATTATTATTATTATTATTGTTATTATTATTATTAATTAAAAAAACTTGTGTGCCTCAAAACCATTAAGTCGTCTGTGTGCTGCCTCTGCTTGTGGTTAATATGAAGCTTTTTCAGTAGCCGGTGGGAGGTGAAGGAGCGCCACGTTTAAGGGCTTTCTGGAAACCCTTGACTCACGCTGACATGTCCGGCAGCGCTGCGTCACCTGTTCCAACAGCAGCTCTCCGTGTTTCGCGTTATAATCCCCAGCTATTGCTTTCCACTGACAGGCCCTGGAACAAACTGCATCGCCTCACGTCTTGTCACCATCCACAACGGTCTCTCACTTCTGGCTTTTTTTTTTTGTCACTTATTTGCCCCGGAATATTCCCCTAATAGCCTGGGAATGGGCCTCCTCCAGACACCCCCCTCTTCACCTCCTCCATGGGGGTGTGTGTGTTTGTCTTCAATCCAGATTAAACAGATGCTACAAACACTATTTTTATCCTTATGTGGATTTTTGCACCGGACTTGCATATTAGCAGGGAACGGTTTGAATCCATCAGTAGCTAAAAGAAACACTGCCAGGTACACTTATGTATTATGATTGCCTATTTTTTTTTTCTTGCTAAAAAGCAAAGCTATTTACAGCATCACGCAACAAGAAGTGCATAGGAACACTTGTTTCTTTCCACAGTAAATGACCGAACTGTTGCAAAGTTCACTCCAGGTTACAGGATACATTAGTGTGCCAGTATGGTTCAGTGCTTAAATTAGACTGGAATTATTAAGCTGCGTATTTAAAAAGAAACACCTTCCTAAGGTTGCGTACATATGAAGCATGTGGGTGAGACCTTCGCCCCAGTACGAAACCTTTAATGCGTTCCAACGCGTCAAACACCTGGCTCCCCTGATAATGATTTGCTTCCTTTTCACGTCGAGGCCTTCTGGACGGGATGCCAGCTAATCAGGATGCGGAGCCAGGGTGGGTGGGGTGTCAGAGTGGGGGCGGATGGGTGTGTGTGTGTGTGTGGTGGGGGGATGTCATTGACGCTGAGGACAACAGCTCAAGGTTTCCGTCTCGGCAATAACTAATGCAAATCAGAAGCGGTCAAAATTACAGCCGGCGTGCATTCCCCACAAAACAGAATGCGTAATTGAATATTCAGTGCGGGCACAAACAAACTAATTACCATATGCTGCTGATTTGCGACGTGATGGAGTGACTCCACCTACACACGCCACCTGGCGCAATTCACATGTCACTCGCGCGCGAGCCACTCTCTACGCCGAGCCCCTCTCGCCGATTTCCCAAGTCCATACTGGCCTGAAATTGGACTGACGACAGCCGTAGGTCACGCGCAATAGCTTTAATCCACCGAGAATGCAAGCAGTCCCGTTTCTTTCTTCCCATTTCGCTCATGCGAGATATGATGGGAGCCTGTCGGCATCCTATATTCTGCCTGAAGTAAAAGAGATTGACGCGAAATTACGCACCACGGACAGGAGGCGGTTTCCGGGCCGACGGGATCTCGGAAGCCGCGGTACCTGGGAATCGAGAGGAGGTTCGGAAATGAAACGCTGGCGTGACAGAAAAAAAAAATCGATGTAAATTAAATAAGTAAAAGCAAAAAGGGGAAAACATGACAAGCTTAGACTGACAAACAAGGGTTTTTTCAGAGCAGGGACATTATGTAGATTGTCACACACTTACACAGCGCTAGAAAGCACTGCATCCGCCGAATTCCCGCACAATAGATCACCCGTCAGGCATCATCAAGCAAGGCAAGCGCCGTGACTGCCACTATATCTGTTTTTCCGGCGCACAATAAACCCCCTGAACCGCGAAATCGCATATACGTGCGCAAGATTGATTCTTTTGTGCCGCTTTATTTATTTATTTTATAATATAATAGGGCGAAAAAGAAAATCACGAAATAAAAACATAGTTCAGGCACAAACGAAAGTACACCTAAATATGTACATACAGTGAGCCAGAGGGTACCCTTGTGCTTATTTTTGAATAAATTTACCAGAAGATTCAGAGATAACTACAGATTAATTACCGAAGTTTCCGGAGAATAAAAAGGCAAGGTGGAGCACTGGAACTTAATTATGTTCAACGGAAACTTAATCTTCTTTGGCCACAATGGCAAAACTTTTAAATCGGTGACATGAATGCAGGATAATTGTTTTGCAATTTGTACTGTATTTGATCATGTAGACACCTCTAATCCTGCCTGGTTTATGCCGACGTGTTTGCATTGTTAATGTAATTCTGACACTCCGCAATATGTATGTAAAGATTAGATTCAGTCATCAGCTTCCTAGAATTCCTTAGAT